TGGGTAAGAACCTCACTTCTTGCATCTGAAGAAGTGAGGTTCTTACCCACGAAAGCTTATGCTCTCAATACTTCTGTTAGTCTTAAAGGTGCCACAGGACCCTCTGTTGCTTTTTACAGATTCAGACTAACACGGTTACCCCTCTGATACTTTCCTTTTTGTACTGACCCATCCACTCCCCCCCAAAAAAATTTGATAGTGTCCAGTTTTCAAATTAATTCCACCCCACACTTGGTAAGGTAACTCCCATCTTTTCATGTGCTATAATATATATTCTGCTTACTGTATTTTTCACTCCATGTATCTGATGAAGTAGGTTTTAGCCCACGAAAGCTTATGCCCAAATAAATATGTTAGTCTGTAAGGTGCCACAAGGATTCCTCGTTGTTTATACCCTCTTAGGGCATCTGAATGGGATCTTAACTTGGTTCAATTTATTCAAAACTCTCTCCCTCCCTACCCATGTGTGATGCTCAAAAGAGTAACTGGATGTTGACATTTCTAGGCTATCTCCATGCTAATTGTGAACCCTCCTGGGAGATTTGACTCTGTTTTCTAGGACTATTTTTGGAGGCTTGGATTAGGATCATTGACTCGGTATGTATGACTGAAGTAGAAAAGCCTGAAGAAGAGCTCTGTGTATGCTCGAAAGCTTCTCTGTCTCGCCAATAGAAGTTGGTCCAATAAAAGATATTATCTCACTCCCCCCCCCCCCCGGTCTGTGTAATGTAGCTGCATAAAGGGCTCTGAGGCACATGTAACTCTGAAACACATTTGAGCTGTTTTGCTGCCTGTGAAGATTGCTCCTGGACACATTGACTGAATTTACCTGGTTTTCTGAAGGGAAGCATCGGGTGCAGTTTTGACACTGTTGCCATCTCTGAATTTTGCAGGGTGCCCACTGGTGATCTGCATCATCTCTGCAGCTTCAGCCATGGACTGTTATGGAGAAAGTGGAAAGTGAGTACAGAAAGATCTACCTCTGGTTCAAATATCAAAACAAGTAAGATCTGGGGGGAGGGCAGGACTAATACTAAATATCTTCCCATGGGGCCTGATTCTGAGCACCAACAACTCCCATTGACTTCAATGGGAATTGGGGGTGTCTAGCACTATTTATCGCTTATGCATTACATGTTAGGTCTACATATTGAGGCTATTTGCACATTTACTAGGGATGGGCCCAACTCTGAAAGTTCAGATCCATAATCAGAGTGTGAACTTCCTCAGAGTTTGGGGATGAGATGGTAGAAGAAATTCTTAGATCTAGTGTTCTGGTTTGGATTCATCTCTTTGAGCACTACTGTAATAAAGAGTAATAAATACAAATGCATATGTAAGGGTATTTATATGTTAACTTTTGTTTTGAGCTTATTTATTTTACTAATAAAACTGAATTGCTCAAGGATTCTTTGTTTGGACTGAAACAAACATGTGAACTCCAGTTTTGACTAAACACAAGGATCAGAGAGCAACAAAACTAACCAAAATACTTGATGTAAGCTATGTAGTTGTAGACTATGACTGCAGAGGTGTTAACGGGCCACTCTAGCTTGAATTTTCTCTTACAATATGTGCTAACTACTTACCTTAAACAATCTGTTCCATCTTGCATTTTGCTAGGACATTGGGGGGGTCCCTTCCCAGACTTGAAGAGGAGCTCTGTGAAAGCTCTCAAGCTTGTCTTTCTGACCAGCAGAAGCTGGTCCAATAAAATATATAACCTCACCCACCCTGTCTCTCAAAATACTTGGTGTCAAGTCAGCTGGGAGTTCACTTTTTGTTTAGATCTAATGTGCAGGGACAGGAGGAGTAGTGAGGCAGGATTGGAGGACTGAAGACTCCCTGGAGGGCGTAAAAGCTCTTTATAAATACTTGCTAATTGGGGAGCAGGATTTTGAGAAGGAAGCGCAATCTACCTCCAGGAATCACAGGTCTTGGGAGGAATAGAGGGTTACTACCCCTGAATTAGATCCATATCTTTCTCTAAAAGCCAGTGAGGCAGTATTGGGGCCATTGCTGGAGTTGATGATGCATCTTTCTGCTTCTGAACCCTCTTCACTTCTAAATCACACCCGCTCAGCATAGCACTCTGCCCCCCTCTACTGCTGGCAGAACCACAGATAAAGGTTGATTAGGCAAGTACAGCCTTGCCTAACATAGGTGGGTCTTTTATCTCAGGCAGTTGAGGTTCATGGGTTTAGAATAAAAGATCATAGGTTCAGTTCCCCATTGCTGACAACCTACCCAAGGGCATGATATTACACACCCACAGTCTCCTAGGCAGTAGGCCTTTCTCTATGTGGACATAAATGTTTCCAGCCATCAGTGTTACACATGCTCTGAGCACCCCTCTGGCTGTGCTTTGTCAGAAGGATCCAATAATGCAGAGGCTAGGAATGTCTGTAGTAAGAGAAGAGATGATTGGCTGATTAAACAAGTTTAATCTTAATTAGTAAACCAGATTTAGAGATGGTTTTAGGATTAAAATTCTGCACATTGAGTATGTGGCATTGTAAACAGAAAAAGCAAACTGATCTGAGAGAATACCATAGGGCCTAATCCTGCAACAATTTAAGCATGTGAAAAAACTTTATTTTGATGGGTAAGGTAATTCATGTGCTTAGGGGTTCATCATTACAGGATGATACAGGCGTTGTTAAATGAATGGATTACTCCTTATTTCTGTTTTTGTCCATTCCAAACTGAAGATGTAAGAACTAAGCCGAAAGTTGCCATCCCCTTTCTCTCTCCCCAGCAGCCTGAAGAACAAGAGAGGAAGTCTTAGATTTTGTTCTTGCTGCAAAGACAATGGGAATCCTCTCTTCTGATAAATACCATATTACATGGTGCAGCTGCCAGAACGGACAGTGAAATTAATATGCAAACTAGATACCATTAATTTGGGCTTGAATAGAGACTGGGAATGGCTGGGTCATTACACAAATTGAATCTATTTCCCCCATGTTAAGTATCCTCACACCTTTTTGTCAACTGTCTGAAATGGGCCATCTTGATTATCACTACAAAAGTTTTTTTTTCTCCTGCTGACAATAGCTCATCTTAATTAATTAGCCTCTTAGAGTTGGTGTTCTCTGTATGTATATATATCTTCTTACTATATGTTCCATTCTATGCATCTGAAGAAGTGGGCTGTAGCCCACGAAAGCTTATACTCAAATAAATGTGTTCGTCTCTAAGGTGCCACAAGTACTCCTGTTCTTTTTAGGTATTCTCTCTCTGTCTCCTTCACACCATCTTGAAGCACCCTGGAGCAGATAATTGCAGGCAGACTTCCCTATGCAATATACAAATCCAAGAGAGAGCTTGCCGGAGACTCCTTGAGTAGGAGGAGTGGGGGGAAGCAGGAGGATGCAATTAGCTCCATCCATGTTTCCTGTTTTAGAATTTCTCAGCCATTCTGTACCATAGTTTCTTCTCCTTCTCATTAAATGCATTGCTAATTAAATGACCTCATGTTTGATCTTGCAGCAGTGAGTAGATAGTAACCATTCTGCTTTCTCCCTGCAGTTGCTGGCTTTCACTGGAGAACGGCGCAATCTGGGCTTTTGTGGCCCCAGCATTGTTTGTAATTGTGGTATGTATAACTTGCTGCTACCAGCCTTTCATTGCACATGCGCTTCAGTCCACAGTGTGGTTTTACTTGAAGGCACAGGCCTAAATTCCATCCTCAGTAACACTGGGCAGCCCCACGGAAATTGGTGGTATTGCACGGTGTCGGTCTGAACTATTTTCTTCCTGTTCGTTCAAATGCCCTCATTTTACTTTGATTGTCCTGTTAGTATTTGTTTAGGTGAGCTGATTCCTACACTGTTAATTTCACTAGCCCACAGTGCATGTCTCCATGCTGATAGGCCTTAAGCTGCAACAGTCACTGAAATTCTAATGGGAAAAATTACACAAAAACCTACCAGCAAAGCCTGCTGTATTCTAAATGTACCTATGTCCCTCCAATCGAATGCTATAGGCTAGATTCACAACGGGACTGAGGCACCTAACTGCCACTTTAGGTGCCTGTATCCCAGAACCAGACATGCTGGTATTCACAAAACCACTCCTCAGCTGCCGACGAACCCTAAATTCACTTGGCAGTTTTGTAGTACGTGCATTACTGCCCCACTTTTGGTGTCTGGATGCCTAAGCCCCCAGGTTTTTGATTCAGAAACCCGGGGAAGAGAGCTCTTCCTCCGCTAACTCCCCTGCGGGCCCAAGCTGGGCAATACTACCAGATTGGTCCCCTCACCTGTGCTCACAAAAATGGCTGTAGGTGGGGAAAGAGGAGGAGCAGGAGGCACGCGCCTGGGAATTGAACAAGGCTCTCCCACCACTCACAGGAGTGCTATAACCTCAGTGTTATGGGATATTCTGATGTGGGGGCTCCCTCAGCCTCTCCCGTTGAAGCTGTGCCACCATGAGAAAGACTCCATAGCCAGGTGGTTAGAGCACTCGCCCAGGATCCAGTCCCCTTGAGCCAATGACTCTTTTATCCAAAATGGAGCAGAGTCTGGGGGAGCCTCACATCAGACTATCCATACCCCAGTGCTTAGGGCACTCACCTGAGAGGCAGCAAATCCCTGTTCAAATCCCTTTTCCCCCTCAGGCAGAGGCGGGACTTGAAGCAGTCTCCCCCTTCCAAGTGCTCTAATCACTGGGCTAAAAGTTATGAGGGAGGTCTACCGCCACCTTGCAAGGAATTCCTTAGGTACCTCCTGACTCCAGGAGAGGTTTCACAGCTGAGACTCCCAAGCAGAGGAAGGTGTGTCCCTCCAGCTGGGATTTAGGCACCAAACTCCCTGATAGCAGTGAGGCTTAGGACATGCCCCCTCTCCTTGGCATCTTCCATGGGCTAGCTTAGGCAGCTACCTCCCTCAGCATGCTGGCTTTTGTGAAACCCATTCTTAGGCACCTATTTCCTTCCATCCATTGCATAGGAAGCCTGAGAGTTGAATTCAGGATATGTGAAGCCCAGTCATTTTCTAAGTGCCTAAAAATTAGGCATGTCTGCAGAAGGACCTGATCCTAGCACGCTGACTCTGATCCCATTCCAACTTTGAGGCTGATCAGATTTGGATCCAAACTTCTCAGCTTAAGTTCATCTCTCTAAGATGAATCCAAAGCTTCTCCTCCTTTGAGGAAACTTGGGTCCAAATTCAAACTTCATGGTTCATTTCTATGTATGAAGTTCCATAGCCAGAACCTCAAAGTTATTTAGGTGCCTACCTTCAAAACAATGGGATTGTTACTAAATTGTCCTTAGTGTTTATGGGACCAGTGGTCTCACTCTTACTCATACGAGTTACTCACATGAATAATGATTTTCAATGTGAGTAATGGATGCATAGTTAGGCCCTATGTTATTAAAATAGCAATAATATATCTTTTAAATACATGTTAACAAAATATTAAAAAAATGAAAAGTTCCGTATTAGTAAAGTATCTTTTTTCCCTCTGGTTTATTTATACACAGCATAATATGCAGTATTTGAAATAAGAGCATAGCTACAGTACTTTTAATAAAACTATTTATTATGAAGCTATGACTAATCAAGTTATAGGAAAATCACAGATACTACAGTATGCAGCTATTAAAGCAATAAAGTTTATGAATTTAAAACCAGAAACTATTTTGTTACTAATAGTAACACTCAAATCAAACTATGGTGGCTTCCATTAAAATCTTTATAACCTTGCCTTTGCATATACATATTATTGCAGTGTTCCATATTTGTAGTATTGTGACTACCTAGGGAATAATGCAAATACCATGGTAACAGTAACTACTTGCAAGAGAATTTATTGGAATTTTAATGAGGACCACTATACACAATAGCTATAAATTAGTACCAGAATACAGTCTTGTGATAATGTATAGCCCCTGTAGAAATAAATGCCTAAGAAACATATAGTAATAGGAGAGAGAGATTTAGACCAATGCCTGGTGATGAAAAGTTCTATCTGGCATTATTATTCACAACTGCTTCTTCAGCCACTAAGCAAGCATCAGAAACAAGCCTTAGTCACTACATAACCTGGGCGAGATTTGAACTAACACTCTAGAGGCGCATGGATCCACGTTTCTCTCCTGAGCCATCCAGTGTTTTAAAATACATATTCAAATGTTCAAAGTAAATATTTATGATCAATAAACAGAACAAAATCTTTGCCAAAATAGTTGCCTGCTGAGTACAGGTTTCTACTGCATTTGCTGGAGGAAACAGTAATATTGTAAATATAAAAGTGAATTAAAAACGTTCAAAGCAGAGGTTATTAATGTGCATGGTTTAAGCCATCATTTATTACGAATGCTAGAACTGGCAAGAGCAACTGCAATCCTCCTTGGCCAATGGATTTTGATGTCCGAGGAGAGAGAGGCGGGCATAGAAAGAAAATACCTGCAATCCACTTATACGGTGGATGCCTTATATTATATTTCATAGGCCAGATTCTCTGCCCTGCTCTACTCCCTTTGTACCACTCTGGCAGTGCAAAGGGATCAGAGACTGGCCATGTCCCTCCAGCCAGGGATACCCCCAGCTAATGTAGCTGGAGCCTAAGCATCCCCCTACACCACAGGGAGTTGCTTAGGATCCAGCTACATTAGCTGGGGTGAGTTATTGGTGTGGCCAGAGCCCCAGCTGTTGGATAGTTCTTGGGGGACACTTACCACCTGGTGGAGATCAGAGCAGCCCCCACATTGCTCTTAATTCTGAAAGGGTCAATGGTGGGGAAATTTGGCCAACGATACTAGAGGCAAACCTCTGCTCTTATGAACAAGTGTACTGGGATCATTAACGAGTGTGCAGAACAGACAGCTCTTGGATTTTTAAATGCCTCATCAAAAAGATCCCCACACAAAGCAAACTACAGGGCATTGAGTTCCTGCACCTTAGAGGGCTGAGTCCCTTCACTAGTATTCAAATCTATTGTTCTTAGCAGGCCTGGGTGTTCCAAACGTGGGGCTGTGCGCCCTCAAATCCCATTGCAGTCAGTGGGGTTTGGGGGCACTCAGCACATTGCAGAAATAGGTAACAAATGACTAGATTCCCACCAGTGGAGTTCTGCGGATGGTACCATACGGCCTGCACGTTCCCCTTCCCTGTAACCGTGTGTTAGAACTCTACAATGATATGAGATTCAGGCTGTTCCTTCCACTTTGGCACTACGGTTTAAACGCTTGGTGAAGGAATGGCTTGTTAAACCAGGCCCGTTACATTCAGATGGCTGCTTTGGGTACATCTGTCGGTTGTAATGATTTTAATCTTTCCAGAGAAGAGTGCAGGTTCATGACTCAGTTACTGATACACGAATGTATTACAACGGTTTAATTATGCCCACACATTAAATTACAGTGAACTGGTGCTTAATCGCTTTGATTAGGCGAGGAGTCAGGGTTGTTTTCCAGGATTAAGGAGAGCATTACTCCCCTGGAAACTTCTCTACAGCATCATCCTCCGATACTGTAATCAATAAGGCCCCTATGATTCCTGGAGTAGGGTTGTGGGATCAAGACAATAATGCAAATGAGAAGTAGATAGAAGTGTGGTTACTCTAATCAATAGGTTTGTGTTAAAGGCCTTACTTTGATTTTTAAGTGATGAGTCCAGATTCTGGGCCATCTTTGCTGTTGGAAAGGGGCTGAGTGGCACCCTGGTCCAGGAGCTCTATGCCACTTTCTTGCATGGACACCAGCAAGGGGTCTGCAGTGGGGACCTGCAGGAGAGAGCAGGATGGAGAATGACTGGAGCATACTGGCAATGCCAAACTACACCCATCCCCCACAAACTGTGCCTTCTGTGCACATTAAGGGAGCACAGCACAAAAATCATGCCCCCATTATTTCCCTGGTGGAGCAGCAGAATGGGGGCATCAACTTTACCATAGCGGGCTAGAATAGCAAAGGAAAGTTCCAGGGAGATGCCCCCAAATGTTCCTGCACCTACAGAACCTCCCACCCATTGCGTTTGAAAATGAGCATTGACACAGGCCAAGAGGAGAGCTGCACATACAGCAGGTGCGGATAGTCAGCAGGTTCACCACATCACAGCATTTTACAAGCATTTAAGCTCCTACAAAGGGCTTGATTCAGCATGGTAAACTAGAGGGATGGCAGTTGGTGGTTCCACTGCTTTCCTCTAGTGGGGCTGCAGCCAGGGATCTGAATCAGGACATTTCATGGGCAGTGTAGCCCAGCCCGTCTCCCACTCATTCCATATGCTGTGAAAAGTCCTAGGGAAGTTAATAGTGATGGAAGTGCTTGCTAGGACTCTATAGACATTTAACAGGCAAGGTGAAAAAGCTCATGTCTCAGTTTTACAAGCTTGGTATGTTGACGTGGCAGAAACTGCCTCATACCAACAGCTTAATGATGAGATGAATGGCATAGCTGAAGAATCCCATGTGATAGGCAGAGAATTTCTCTCTCCTGTAAAAGGAAAGCACAGATGTGCAAGTGACAGGTAGGTGGGTGGCAACGGGTGGAGAAGAGCCCTGGGCTTTGTTTTCATAACAGGTTCATTTTTTTTCTTGCGTGCTGTAATTAAAGCTGACCTAAGGCCAGGTGTAGACATCGCCATGTTGATAGAAGAATTCTTGTCTTGACCTAGCTTCTGCCTCTTGGAGAGGTGGATTTACTAGAGCGACGGAAGAACCCTTTCTGTGGCTTTAGTAGGTGTCTAAAGTACAATGCTGCAGTTGTGCCCCTGTAGCGTTTCTAGTGTAGAGAAACCCATAAAAAATGGTGAACAACTGAAATAATCCAATATTCAAATTGTTTCCTCATTGGCTCAGCACTTGCTGTCTTGCTGTGTAGGAAAGGTGAGGCAATCAGCATAATCAAGTCCTCCTAAGGCCTAAGCGAATGCCCAAAGACAGTATTAAATACAAAGGGGAAGATGGTGAAGAACTTACTCCCGGGGTGAACTTTGACATCAGTGGCACTATTCGTCCGAGTAATTGCTCGCCCGTGTGAATTAGGGCTAAACCTCCCTGGCCCTAACTTTGTATTTGTGACACAGTATTCTTGGCAGGACAAGTTATACTCTTATGTGGATTCAAATATTTGGAGAAAGAAAGAGCGAGCCAAATGGAGCGAGAACAACTGAACTGGGATATTGTTCTTATAATAATTTGCAAAATATTCCAAATCCAGCTCAGCCCAAAAGAGCAGCAAACTGTGCCAGCTGAATATTCTACTTGAAAAACGCATTAATGCCCTAGGGGATAACAGCAGGGCTAACTTGTGGTGTGTGTGTGCGCGTGCATATTTGTATTTAGTCATCCTGTTATTTAGCAGCAAAAGCTCTTTAAGTAGCAAACTAGCCATTAGCTGCCTGAAATGTTGTTTTGCTAGGAAAGCATGGCTTAAAAGGCAGTACTTAAAAGCCTGACTGCTCCCACCCACAGGATTTCCATGGTAGGGGGCTTCGGCAGAGGAAAATGGCATATAGGCAATCATTCCCCTTTGCAGCCCCCTCCCCCCACGGACTGGGAAGGGGTGCCTCTCTCCCCAAGATCTGTGCAGCTCCTAGGCCTCTGCCTGCCCCAACTTCTGGTTCATGAGCAATGCAGAGGCAGTGGAGCCACGCTACTAAAGCTGCTTCCACCAGGAGCTGCCCCCTTAAAAGGGAGTTATGGAGTGATGGGAGTTACCTGTGTTAAAAGTTAACAAAGCCTCCAGTTTCCCCATAAGGGCAACAAATGGACCCACCACCTCCCACACTCTGCCCACGTGTGGAATCGCAGACCCCAAAAGTGCTCGCTTTAGGATTTGAGGCAAGGGACATGAGGGGATGGTGCCATGAAGAGTTGTAAGGCACCCCTTTAATCCCTACATCTTAGGCCTTTAAGAACATGAAGAAACCCCCATGCAATATCCTGAAAATATCGAGCTTTGCTATTAGCTCTTTCTACTGATTTGAAAAGCAAATTAATCTTTGTCCGACTGTGCCCAAGGAAACATCTCTCCAAAAGAATCTGTATATTTGGAACAAGGTAGTAAAGACTTCTGGCAGACGGCTTTGTTCGTTATCAGCCATCTGTCTCCTTCCTGTGTTTTCATACATATGATAGAATTAAGGCAATTCTAGTGAAAACCAAACTCCTGTGCGTACTGTGTGATGGGCAGTAGCAAAGACATTGAACAGACCAAGAAGGTAGCAATCATGCTGGGGAAAATTTTGGACAGTAGTTTGCTGGTTCTTTATGTTGCTTTGCCATAAATCGTTACTTTCCTAGGCTGATCACATCCATCCCCAGTTACAAGAATTTCTCTTCAACAGCAATTTTGTAGATGAGTGTGCACATCTGAGTAAAAGATCATCACAACAAAGAATTCTGTCCCATGTTGACATGGGCTAATTGCTTTTTCATTAGTGGCCTGGACATGACATTCCTTTGGGAATGGGGGCTCTCATCTCACCATGCAATCCATGCCTACAAATGGTACTTCTTTGTAAATACTAAACACTGAAGGCAACTTGCTGACACACTCATGCTGAATAGTACCTAGTACCCAATTCTGTAACAACAACAGCTAGCTCTTACACAGCACTTTTCATCAGTAGGTCTCATAGCAATTTACAAAGGAGGTAAATATCATTATCCCCATTTTACTGATGGGAAAACAAAGGCACAGGGAGATGAAGTGACTTGCTCAAGGTCACCTAGCAGGTCAGAGGCAGAGCTGAGAACAGAACCCAACATTCCCAAGTCCCAGTACAGTGCCCTGTGCTGCAATGCCTCCCTCCACGGACTTCAAGGTACTCTTTATTATGAGTAAGGGAGCACCTAGGGGCCAGAGTCTGCTAATCACAGATCACTCAGCGGGCCCAATGTTCCACTCTTGTTCTCATTACGTAGTGCCTTGCTCTGCAAGTACCCCCACTGATTTAAGTCAGTCTGCTTGTGGAGTGGGGAGGCAGAAGTTGGCCCCTAACGCTTAGAGGCCCTGAAGCAAGAAGGCACTTAAGCATATGCTTAACTTTAAGCAGGCAAATAGTTTCACTGAAGTCAAGCATGTGCTTAGGTGCTTTGCTGGATGGAGGCACAACTGAACAACTCTCAGGAGTTGAGCTTCCTTAATTTTATCCCCATCAGTGCCTGAGCACTGGCACTTTTTCTTAAAGTTCCTTATTCTTTTTTCTACTCAAAAACATGCAGCATTTTTGAAAGAATTAAACCGATGATAAGAAATCAAATGTGAAAAACTAAAGCTAGGAAAGACAACCAATAAGGGTCTGATTAGACCTTTCCATCAATGCTTGCTTTACTGTATATCTCCTCCATTCCCAACTCTTCTGCCATGCCCTGACCTGTGATGCAGAACTCCCATGTGTGAATCCTTCTAAGCTACACTCATGAAAATCCAAAGTAATTCCCTTTAAATCAATACAATGAGCCCACAATTGGTCTGGGGTAGCTGAGAGCAAAATTAGGCCCCTTGTTCTTCCAACTTTGAACATCCATCTGCTTTAACGGATTAGCAGCATATGGAAATGCAGAACATCCACTACAGATTTCCCAGGTGATTTAGCAGTGGACCTCTGCCAGAATAACTTGAGATGTTAGTGTTGCTATTAATGATGTTGCGATGGCAAGAAAATTAACTCATCCCCAGAAAATACATTAAAGCTAAGGAGGAGTGAATCTGTTCAGTTAACCCCCTGAAATTTTGCTTGAAACTCATGTGAAACCTAAAAGAGTTTGTGTTTTAAAGAAGCTTAGTCAATAGATTTAATTACCTTAATGTATTGGAAACTTTTTTTTGAATGTGTCTGCACCTTCCAGGGTCTGTCCTAGAGTGGCTGCAGAAGTCCCAAAATGCCAGGCATAAAGCTTTGTTCATGGAGTTTCTGGACTGCACAAGAGAAGCAACAAAAATCTAATGAGATTTGGAGGGAAACTGGATGAAACAAATAAATTCAGATTAAAAATTTAGCTAAATAAAGGAAAGAGCCTGTTTCTGCCATATTTCCAGCCCAGTGTTGTAGACCTGTATTTCAGATGAACAACCCTCAGAGCATTACCCACCTCTAATTGGAACCTAAGCCCCATTCCTGCTCCCATTGTAGTCAATGGCAAAACTCCCACTGACTTATTTTAGAGGCAGGATCCTGCAGTTAAGCCACCCCTAGATACCTGTGGGAGATTTGACAAAGGGTTGCAGTATCAGGTCCTGCAACAGCAGACATTCCACTGCAATTCCAGTTGTGGGGTCAAGCCCTTGCTTGCCTGTTGGGGACCCCTTCCCTTAAACAGAACTACTTGCATGAATAAGGAGTGCAGGATGTGGCCCATATACTTCAACTTTTCAGAAATTGGTCCTGGGAAAAAAGTCTCATGAAAAGAGAAAAAGTGATGCTGAAAGGACTTAGAGACAGCCTGGGTTGCCTTTGTAACTGTGGTCCCAATCCTGCAGTTTTCACTCAGGTGAAATGTTCTTCAGCCTTATCCAAAGCTCATTGAAGTCAACGGGAGATTTGCCTTGGACTTTGGTTTGCCTGCCACTCCCATTCACTTTTCTTAGACTAGCAGCTGCTCATCACCGCCTAGGATTTGGCCCATTGACTTTAATGGAAGTTTTGCCCAACTTTAAGCCCTGTAAATCAGGAGAGCTGGCTATTGTTATTAACTGTGTATTTTAAAAAGCAGTATAAGCAAGTTCCTGAATAATTATAAGGCAGAATAACTGCAACTGTGAAGCCAATTCTGGCCTTTCAGAAAAATAAGAAATAGGAACAGCATTCAATTCCCGTATCAAAATGTTTATTCCTCTAGCTTGAACATTCTAATATGTGAGGCTTCTGTATGTGTGTGTCTCCCCTCATATTGGGTTGTAAATCTGCAGCAATTTTAAGGTTGTGTTATTTTGTAAGGTAAAATACAATGGTGTTTTATCAACCCAACATTCTCCTATTCATATTGTTGACAAGGTATTTATGCCAGATGTCAAAAAAATCATTGGTGGAACAATTCAGTGGCTGTATTTCAGTTTCATATTATAATTGGAGTGCAATTGCTTCCATACTTTGCTTGCTAGCACATTAGATATGAACTTCTTACTTTATTAATCTGTTTATTCAGGCTAGATGTGAATACCTTATCTGCTCTAAAATGACTTCTTAACCTTCTTGCACAAAACTCATTTCCTGATTTAACCCAGTGTTTTGAGAGAGCTTTCCTCCCCTGAGTATTGTAAGCAAATCCAAACTGGAGTGCAATTAGGCTTTGGGAATATTGGACATTTCAGCAGATGCAGGGTACAATGCAGTAAAATATGGAACTGTGGAAATTTAAGAATTTCTTTGCTAATTTTATGATGGGTTTTTATTTTTTGTAGTAAGGTCACAGTGTTCTCTTGCTATGTGATAGCAATCTCACTGACATACAGCAAAGGGGACATGGTGACAGTGACTTCACAGGAGAAGATCAAAGAACTAACATTTCAGAGGTCCCAAAATATCAGTGAAGTTCAGGCTTCAAATAGTTTCTCATTTATATACAATTCTGAAACTGAAATTCAGCTACAAATGCTAAACATCCCATGTTTTAGAAAACAGGTTTTGTTTGCATTTGCTTTGAAAGTGCAGTCTACTGGACTTACTCACACCAGTGGTTCTGATAACTGGATCGTATGGTCCATATTCAGTGTGGGCTCAATTCTGCCAGGTGTGGAGAATTTTCTCATTGATCCCACAACTTACATTGAAGCTAGTAGAAGTTGAGGACTCTCTGCTCTTCTCAAGGAACAGTCAAGCACCACTGGGGGAACAGACCCTTTTCACTGAGCCCGTACCACAGCAAACCATTGGCTACAGTGGGAATTTTGCTCGAGTAAAATCTGAATAAAGACCTTAGCCATTGGCTTATTGGCTTCAGTTGGACTCTCACATGAATAAGATCAGTACGATTTGACCCTGTGTTTGTGTGCAAATATATGAACTAGAGATGGGGGACCAAAACAATGAAATCCTTAACACATGCTGAAAATGTTATCCACGATGAAAAGTAAGGATATGCAACGCGAAGGGTTTCAGAACAGATGGAAACAGCTTACATTAAAAGGTAACTAGAACTGCTTCAGTGAATGGTATACATGTCGCATGAAAAGTAAGCTGCCCCTTACAGCCTGATAAATAAAAGAAAATTGTATTTCCAAATGATGGGGGAGGAGACAGAGAATGTCCAAATTCCTATTGAATAATCAGACTATTATCCAACTCCAGGGAGCTGGACCAGGATATTTGTTTATGAATGAAAATGGTGCCAGCTTTCACAAGGAATTATTCAAATGGCTCTAGATCCAGTCCAAAGTGGGATTCTTGATTTCCTACTACCTGTCGTCCTGCAGTAACGATGGGCCAGATCCTCAGCCGCTGTGAATAATCATAGCTGTGACTGGACAAACAAGCTGAGGATCTGCACCGATGTGTCTAAAGTTGACAAGAAACAGGGCTTGGGAGCACCGAAAGAAAAGATCTTGAGAAGCCTCAGTGGTTATTACACTTTAAAAATCTTAAATATTTTCTCATTCTAAAAATCGTAATTAAAGCACATATGTACAAATAACGACTTCTGCTCATTTTGGGGTGAAAAATAATTAGTAGCAGCCACTACAAACTGCATCCTCCTCCTGTTCAGACCTATTCTATTCTACTTTCTTCATGGTACTTACTCCATGGTCAACACCACACACTGTAGTTAGGGTTGCCACCTTTCTAACGGCAGAAACTGGACCCCCAAGGCTCGACCCTGCCCCTTCCCCCAAGGCCCCATCCCTGCTCCACCTCTTTCCCCAGGCGCCGCCCCGGCCCTGCCCTTGCATGCCGCAGCCTGTGAGCAGTCTGGCCCAGGAGGTGGTGGCGGCGGCTTTGGGTTGCCACTGATTAAAAAAACGGACACCGGGGCTTGTCAAATGGCACCCGGACACACAAGCCGAAACCCGGACTGTCCGGGTGGAAACTGGACAAGCGGCAACACTAACTGTAGTTGGTGTATGACTTTAGACTAGAAGGGGGAAGTGTACTTTCCCTGCCTCCCAGCTCTCTCTCAAAAAGCTAAGGTCTTTTGACAGCAAGAGTGTCCCTCCAATAGCAAAGCTTCCTCTTCCTTTTCTTCACCTCTGACTCTCGCGGGGATGACAAACAATCCTTTGTTCTATCTTTCAATGTCAATCTTTTCAAGATTCCTTGAATTTCTGGTGGGAATTCTTTTCATTACATGGATGTTTTTCTGCTGGGCCTGACATCAAATGCAGCACGCCTTTTGTGTAAAGTAGAGTTCAGGCTTAACATTTTTCCTTAATTCTATTTCGAAATGTTCTCATGCCAACATTGCAAGCAAATTTTGGTAAGTGGCAAGAATTCAGCAATGAAAGGTCTAAAGGAAGGTGCTTTCTAAAACACAAACGCACATTACAGTTTTCATGGCCAGTTTGTCAGCTACTGGTATAGAATAGGGTTTTTTGGCTTTGCAGTTTTGGTCAAATCCATACTTCTGATGATGTGATGCAAAGTTTCTAACTAACTAATGGTCAATTCTCATTCAGCACATCTAACCCAGATAGTGAATATCCATTATAAAAACAAACACCCCCCCCCGATAAGATGCTTTAAAAAAAAAAAAGTGGTCCAGATCCTAGCCCCCCACTTCTACTGCTTTGTGGGTTTAGGTTTCTTAGAATGTCCCCTGCACAGGGGAATTTGTGGGTGGTACAGAACTGCTACAATGGCATCTAGGGGGAAAGAGTACAAGCTACCAGAACTATCCTTGGGACCACTGTCAGCCAGGCCTAAGTAAAAACAGACCAAAATTATAGCCCTATGGTCAGAAAGTTAATATAAAAAGCAAAAGTTATCCTTTTCTGCTGTATTTGTAGAATACAAACTCAGTGCACTTTGCATCTCTGACATATTCCATGCTCATTTCCCTGCCTGAGTCCAGCTTTTTCTTATTTAGGTCAATATTGGCATTCTCATTGCTGTCACCCGAGTCATCTCGAGAATCAGCGCAGACAACTATAAGGTGCACGGAGATGCCAATGCATTCAAGTAAGTCTTTCTCATTCACATTATTTGCAATAAGAGAATCACCTAGAACTATGTTATGTCATAGATGGATATATCATGTGCTCCTCTCTGTACATTGGTAGGATGACTCAATAGGAAAAAAAACAAACGGTCACAGTCAGCAAGTTAACCCCCCATTTTAATGCAGCCACTGAGCAACTGCTGTGGAAGGGGGAGCGGAGCTGCAGTTAACCCCTTGTTCGCCAGGAACTAGGTAGTTTCCCCTACCATCCCATCACAATCCCCTTCACATAGCGACTCATGACTGTGCCTTAGAGAATAACTACATTCAAAAGTACATTGCACAGAATGCAACGATCATTTAATTAGTTTACACTGGAATATTTCAATACCCCCAGGCTTTCTGAGGATTATCCTTGATTTTGCCCCTGACTCAACAAAATATTTAAGTATGTGTTTACCTCTAGGTCTATCCCTATTCAGAAAAGCACTTAGGCCCATGCTTAACTTTAAGTTTGAGCTTAAGTCCTAATGCTCATATATCAAAGCAGTTTACACACTATAGTAGTGGCCTTTTTGATGGCCTAGCCAAAACACTGCCTTAACCATGTGCTATATTAAAGTACCGTCCCATTGACAGAAGTTTGGAAGTGACACTTTAAATTAGCAGAGGGGTAGCTGTGTTAGTCTGAATCTGTGAAAAGCAACAGAGGGTCCTGTGGCACCTTTAAGACTAACAGAAGTATTGGGAGCATAAGCTTTCGTGGGTAAGAACCTCACGAAAGCTTATGCTCCCAATACTTCTGTTAGTCTTAAAGGTGCCACAGGA